AGAAAATCCAGAAATATTTCACAAGAAGAGTTCTCCTCTCCTCTACTCATTGCAGAATACCTTATGCCACCAGACTCGAAATTCTAGACTTAGAAAACCTAGAACTACACCACCTTCAGTCTGATCTAAGTATAGTATATAAAATTATACATTACAATGTCCTACCTATCAATGAATACTTCAACCATAACAATACAAGAGCACACAATAGATACAAACTCAAGGTAAACCACACCAAACTTGATTGCAGGAAATACAACTTCAGCAACAGAGTGGTCAATGTCTGGAATACTCTACCTGACTTTCTTCCCCAAACCCCCAAAACTTTAACCTTAGACTTTCTACTATTGACCTCACCCCTTTCCTAAGAGGTCTGTAGGGGGCATGCATAAGTGCACCAATGTGCCTACCATCCCTGTCCTATTGTTTCTTTTATTTTTCTTATATGTATCAATGTATTCATAACTATGTTTTTACTTATACCTATTATCTTGTAAGCAATTGACAAACCAAATAAAATAAATAAATAAAAATAAACATGCACAGAGACACGCAGTGAGCACTGGGGGGTCACTCAGACCTGTGCAGAGACATGCGGTGCACGAGGGATCGTGCACGCAGGCACAGATGGATGGCATGTAGGAGTGATTATGTGCGTAGGCACACGGCACACGGCACACGGCAAGGGGAATCGTGCATGCAGGCCCAGACACGTGGCACGCTGCAAGAGGATCATATGCAGGCACAGGGGGGTCCCAGAATGCATTGTCAAAAGATATAATTGGTCTATATCTGCTCATTGCCAAGCAGGTTAACAACAAACTGCAAGGCATGAGATAGAAGCATGTCTAACATTTGGCAAAACCTACCTGATAAACCTATCCTACTTACCAACAAATTTTAAATTGCTAACTGGTGTTGCACCTATTGCAATCCAACAGCATCTGATTAAAAACTATCTCTTTCAGAAAGGAAACTTCCCAAAGAACAGAGGAACAAAAAAATCATCTCCTAATTGACAAGAAGGTTTTGGAAAACTGCAAAAGAAGGAAGACCAACTAGAATGTACGTTGGATCAATTACAAGAAAGCTTTCAACTCTATCACATGACTGGATAATCAAGTGCCTAAAAATAACAAGAGGCAATAGAAAAATCAGCAGTTTAGGTCAAAGATGAATGACACTATGGAAGACACAGTGCTGGTCAATATGGATAGACGGGGAGTAGTTAATATCAAAAGAGGAATCTTTCAAGGAGACTCATTCTCACCACTGCTGTTTGTCATTGCATTGATTGTGCATCAGCAAGAATGATCAAGTCAGGCCATGACTATCAAACATCCAAAACAACTGCCAGGCCACCCCACCTCTTTTTACATGGATGATCTGAAAGTATATGAAAATTGTTATGTCCTGAGGACTCTAGGAGTTCTCACTCAGGTCCACTCACTTTGCGTGGGCGTTCTTTCCCCTCCCCTCATTGGTTGATCCTCTCCAGCAGCCAGCTATAAAAGCAGGCTGCGGGGTCCAACCAGTTGCTGATTGCTGCGAGCCAGTTCCAGGCGTGGCAAGCACGGTCAGCCCTTTATTATTAAATAAAGTATTGTTGCACTCATGCTCTGGTTCAGCCTCTCATTGCTCAAACTTAACACTGGCGACGAGGGTGGGATGGCGACCAGAAGCACCATGCAACCGCTGAGTCACTAGTCACCGATCCGCAGCCCAGAGAGAGCGATCGGTCGACTACAAGAGAAACGCTGACCGCAGCCAGAGAGAGCGGTCAGCCAACAAAAGAGCGAACGTTGATCCGCAGCCAGAGAAAGCGGTCTGGTTCGAAAGTTAGAAGCGTCTGTAGCCGCTTGTTAGCCCAGCTACGGGGAAAGTGAAGCGCTGCGAGCCGCAGTCGCTCAGTATTAGGCGCGAAATTCAAACGGGTGTCATTTGAATTTCAAACCAAGAGAGACACAGCACAGCGCTGTAGTAAGTCACTAACGCCCACACTGGCGCGAATCTAGACACCTCCAACGGCTAACAGCCAACGTGGTTAACCCAGAGAGAAAGAGAGGATAGCAAAAAAACCTCTCCAGAGCTGATTTCACTTGCAACCCACGAGTGCCCGTTGTCCCCAGAGAGATTTTTTCCGCAGGTAGCCCAGCCGTTTCCAGCACCATGAGTTCCAACCCAGTATTCCCGGCGTTCAAACCAGACGAAGAGAAGTGGGAATCGTATAAGAACCGCTTCAACCATTACATCGACGCGGTCGGCCTGGCAGATGCGGGAGAGCATCAGAAAAAATCCTATTTCCTAATCTACTGCGGAGCCACCGTTTACGATACTGCCGCAGCACTCGTAGCTCCTAGAGAGTTGAAAAACGTTCCATGGTCCGAGTTGCTTGAGATCCTCACTAACCACTACGCTCCCAGGCCTTCACAGATCGCCAGGAGGTTCACTTTCCGTATGAGGAAGCAATCGAGTAAGGAGACCATTAATCAATATATGGCCGCCCTCAGAACAGCAGCTCTGCACTGCGGGTTTGGAACATACCTGGAGGACATGCTCCTCGATCAATTAGTTTGTGGGGTCAAGGACCTCAACCTACAGAGGCGCCTTCTAGCAAAAAAAGACCTCAACCTCGCACAAGCGGTCGAGGAGGCCCTGGCAGCCGAGCTGGCAATGAACTCAGCCACCGAAATACAGGGCCCAAGCGCCAAGCTGGCATCGTTCCCAGTCCATTCCGAGGAGGTGGTAGCTGAGGAAACCCTCAACGACGAAAACGACGTCAACCGCCTCGCCTACGACAAACGGCCGCAGGTAGGGGCCAAACAAGAAAACACCGGTCACCCAAGCACATCACGCTGTGCCTAGCCTGTGGGGGATCGCATCATAGGGCCACCTGCAAGTTTAAAGGAGCCACCTGTAACAACTGCCATAAAAGGGGGCACATCGCGAGAGTCTGCCAAACCCCCCAAAGCGCTGCACACAGACTCCCTCCCTCGCACTCGGGACCTCAGAGGCAAGTATTAAACTGTCGCACGCACCACCTTGCCAAGCGTACTTGCCACACTGTTAGTAAAATTTCTCTCTCCGTTTCCCTAGAAGGTAAACCGTGCCACATGGAGGTTGACACAGGGTCAGCGCTCTCAATAATTTCGTGGAACACCCTCAAGAGACTCCACCCCGGCCTATCTACCACCCGGCTTCAAAGATGCGAGTTCGGCCTGAAGGACTACCAGGGGAAGACCATTCCTGTGATCGGCAGAGGCAAGTTCTTTGTCAGTTTTAGAACTTTTAAAGGTCACCTACCTCTAGTGGTAGTTAACGGCAATTTACCCACCTTATTGGGGCTCGATTGGTTTCCCCACCTCGGCCTAGGGCTAACAGGAGTCCATGCTGTCTCAACCTTAGACACTGACTCCTTATTCGCTGATTTCGCAGATGTGTTCAGCGAAGAGCTGGGGTGTTATAACAGAACCCCCATCTCATTCACAGTCGACACCCAGGCAGTCCCAATCAGACTAAAACCACGTAGAGTTCCATTTGCTATTCGACCAAAACTAGACGCTGAATTGGATAAACTATTAAAACAAGGGGTCATTGAGCCAACAGATTTCGCCAAGTGGGAGACGCCCATTGTCACACCCCTCAAAAAAGATGGTAGCCTGAGAATTTGCTCGGACTACAAGACAACAATCAATAAATATTTACAAGTCAGCGCCTATCCTGTGCCCGTCATTCAGCACTTATTGCACACATTCGAGCCGGGCAGTATTTTCGCTAAATTGGACATGTCTCAAGCGTATCAGCAGTTCCCTGTTGATAACCAAACAGCGGAACTTCAGACCATCGTCACTCACAGGGGTGCCTTCCGATGCAAGCGTCTCCAATTTGGCGTAAGTGTTGCCCCAGGGATCTTTCAGTCCCTCATGGAGCGGATTTTACAGGGCCTCCCTGGTGTAGTACCCTACTTCGACGACATCTTGGTCTCGGCCAGGGACAGACCCCAACTCTTCCAGAGAGTGCGAGCAGTGCTAGAGAGGTTCAGACAGCATGGCCTCAAGTTAAAAAAAGAAAAATGCGCCATTGCCACTAGACAGGTGGACTTTCTGGGTTATAAAATTGACGCCTCTGGCATTCACCCCCTGGAGTCCAAGGTCAGGGCAATCCACGAGGCTCCCACTCCAACCTCCAAAACGGAGCTGCAAGCTTTCTTGGGGCTGCTGAACTTTTACGCATCCTTCTTGCCCCACAAAGCCTCAGTAGCCGAACCCCTTCACAGATTATTGGACAAACAGTCACCGTGGCACTGGGGGCACAAAGAAGACCAGGCGTTTAACGCCGTCAAATCACTACTCACGTCAGAGGCGGTGCTTATCCAATTCGACCCTAACCTTCCTTTAGTACTGGCAGCAGATGCATCCCCTTTTGGAATTGGGGCGGTCCTGAGTCACAGACTTCCCAATGGCACCGAGGCTCCCATCGCCTTTTTCTCTAGGACGCTCTCGGCCACGGAACGAAATTACAGCCAGATCGACAAGGAAGCCCTAGCAGCTGTTGCGGCCGTGAAAAAGTTTCACGAATTCCTTTTTGGCCATTTTTTCGAACTGGTTACGGACCATAAGCCCCTCCTGGGCCTACTGGCCGGGGACAAACAGACCCCTCAGGTCCTTTCCCCTAGAATGACAAGGTGGACACTCTTCCTAGCGGCCTACTCCTACAAGCTTATTCACCGCCCGGGCAAAACACTGTCCCACGCCGACGCTCTCAGTCGCTGCCCCTTACCCGCTCCGGCTGAAGACCCCGCTCCTGTCAACGCCATTTTCGAGATCACCCAGTTGGACCTGCCCATCACCACCCTTGACATCGCCGCCAAAACCAAGGCAGACCAAACGCTCGCCCAAGTGCTCGACTGGGTGAGGAGGGGGTGGCCGGGTGGCATCATTGATAACAAATTAACTCCATTTAAGACTCGCATGCAGGAGCTGTCTAGTTTGCAGGGTTGTCTACTATGGGGCACTCGAGTGGTCATTCCGACCTCGCTGCGTACCCGAGTCCTGGAGGCGTTGCACGAGGGACACCCCGGCATTGTGAGAATGAAGGTGTTGGCACGCAGCTACGTGTGGTGGCCGGGTCTAGACGAGGACATTGTCAATTGGGTAAGTTCCTGCAGCATTTGCCAGGAATCCCGTCCTGCTCCCCCCATCGCCACCCCTACCAGATGGGAGAGCGCCAGCGCCCCTTGGTCTAGAATCCATATCGATCTGGCCGGCCCCGTGCATGGAAAGATGTTCCTAGTGGTCGTGGACGCTTATTCCAAATGGATAGACGTGGCGCAGCTATCCACGACCACCACACTAGCAATCACCAACGTGTTAACGCGCCTGTTCGTTACGCACGGGCTACCCGACTCCATCGTCTCCGATAATGGCCCACAGTTCGCATCAATAGAGTTCAGCCGTTTTGCTGCCAACCTGGGCATCCGCCACATTTTCACAGCCCCATTTCACCCTGCCAGTAATGGGTTGGCGGAAAGAGCCGTCAGGACCACCAAAGAGGCCCTCGCCAGGTTCAGCAGGGATGACTGGCACCACAAACTCTCACGGTTCCTGATGAGCCAGCACTCAACCCCCTGTTCAGTCACCAATAAGTCCCCAGCGGAGCTCCTGATGGGCCGGCGCCTGAGGACTGTATTGGATAGACTTCACCCCAATTACTGCCCTGACTCTCCCCTCGCTTCCACTTCGGGGGTTAGACATTTTATGTTACAGGAGCCTGTATTCGCGAGGAATTTCGCAGGAGACCCACTATGGATGCCAGGCGAGATCATCGCCATCACTGGGCCGAGATCGTATAGGGTCAGGCTGGAGGATGGTCGCGTCTGGAGGAGGCACATAGATCAACTACGGAGGCGCCACAGCACCCTTGCCAGCAGAAGTCCAGAATCACCAGACGAAGGGGAACCGCCTCATCCGCCTCTCAGCCTCATCGCTCCCAACGTCCAGTCCGCACCAACAGCCGTCCCGGTCAGCCCGAACTCGGACAACAGCGCCCCGAGAGTTGACCAGCCTGATCCAGCCCACGGGAACTCAACCCCAGTATCCAACCCTGTGAGTCCCGAGGATGCCCAATCCGGAGAGCGCGTGGGCGACACGCTGCCGGCTCAACCGTCACAGACTGATTCTGAACGGACAGACAATGTTCCCGAGCTGCGCCGTTCCGGGCGCCAACACAAACCCCCCGTCTACCTCAAGGACTATGCATGTTCGCATCTGGGGGGAAGGGGTGTTATGTCCTGAGGACTCTAGGAGTTCTCACTCAGGTCCACTCACTTTGCGTGGGCGTTCTTTCCCCTCCCCTCATTGGTTGATCCTCTCCAGCAGCCAGCTATAAAAGCAGGCTGCGGGGTCCAACCAGTTGCTGATTGCTGCGAGCCAGTTCCAGGCGTGGCAAGCACGGTCAGCCCTTTATTATTAAATAAAGTATTGTTGCACTCATGCTCTGGTTCAGCCTCTCATTGCTCAAACTTAACAAAAATATTCTATTTTGAAATAGAATTGCTGATCCACACTACCCCTATATAAAAGACTAAGATAAGATATTGAATGAAGTTTGGACTACATAAATGTTCCACCCTTACCATCAACAGAGAGAAAATAGTGGAAAATGAATGAGTCAAGATTTCCTGGAAAAAAATATCAATGGATGAAGATGACAATTAAAATAACTGTGTATTGTTCAAGCAGACAACATTCAGCATAGTGAAGGCAAAGAGGTGGTTAAGAAGTGAATATATCAGGACAGTGAAAAGGTTCTTAAAGTTCAAGCTCAGAGGAGGAAATAACATCCAGAAGATTAAAACGTGGGTATTTCTAGATGAGATAGGGAACTAAACTCATACTGTGATAACTCCCCTGGATGCTTCTCCATATACTTCTCCAGATGTCAGCCCAGAAGAAGATGAACCAGTTCCAGGCACATCTAGAGGGAAGTTGGTCGATGGCTCTAAGAAGCTGGTTGAGAGGAATTTGGCTGAAGCACAGCTGCGTGAGGTCAGCCCTGACATTTCAGATGCAGCCAGTCAGTGGTGAAGAAGAGGAACACCATGAGGTCTTACTGAGTACCAATAAGACCCAATTGGCTTTTACAAAACACCAAATGAAGACTAGAAAAGGGACATGGCAAGACAAAATATTCAGGGCCAGTAAACAAAACCTACAGACAAAGCAGATAACAACCCAACCTGGAAGTAACTAAGAGCAGGAAAGTTGAAGAAAGAGACAGAGAGTCTTAATTCTGGCTGCACAAAACCAAGTTTTAAGAATAAAACAAAGTCAGAATTGAGAAGACAGCAATACACAGCAAATGCCACTGCAAAGAGCAGAAAAAACAGTGAGCCACTTAGTTGCTGTAGTGTTGGAATATGTACAAGAAATACCATTTGCCTCCAAGCAATTGGTGGGATCTAACAGCAAATGAAAAAGCTGAAGTGCCCTTCAACTTTAGAATTCAGACAGATATGCACCTGCCATGACTGTTGATAAGAAAGACAGAAAAGACTGGATAGTGAACATTGCAGTACCTAAAGACAGCAGAAGAACCCTCTTTGAAGGAGATGGACAATCCAGAAATGTTAAATATAACTAAAATAAAAACTTGAGAATATCACAAAAATCTACAAAGATCTACAAGTAGAACTAAAAAGACTATGACAAGAAAAAACAAAGATAGCACCAATATAATAGGCACCAAGCCACCTGCAAAAAGCACCACTTGAGCACCAACAACACTGATAAATTAATCCAGATCTTGAGAAAAGCTCCATGGGTGGATAAAAATGCCAAATTCAATTTAAACATTTAGTTGACTGTACAACCAACCATAATGAATATAATAATATCCATCCACTATATTGTTTTCTTCATGGTGCAGAATAGAGAAAAGAGCACCTGGTGTCCTACTTTCAATCTTTATTTTGCTATTATTTACATTAAAAGGTTAAAACCACTTCTTAGGGACAGTCCATGCAAAATGTTTATTTTCAATGACTCTGGAAAGTTTAGGGTTTTTTTATACAGATATACAGAGTTAAGGTTACTTTTTGACTATTGTTCCTATATGTCAGTCTTTCTTTCTTTCTCCTTTTTTCTGCTTTTTGTATTAGTTAACTGCTTTACTAATATTTAATGAATAACTCTAAACTCTATTTTTTGCTAGTGGAACTGAGTAGTACGTATGCTTGTTCAGACCGGAATGTAGGAACTGACTGCAAATGTGCTAAGTGCGAACTGAACTTGAAATTACTCATAGCATTTTTTCCAACAATTGTATTGTCCCCAAGGCATTTTTTAAAATCTGAGTTGTACTGAATGTATATACAGTATGGAGGAAGACTCTAGAGATCCAGCTCAATATGCAATTCCATTGCTCTGATGGGGGTAGGAGATTAAAGCTAAAGTGATAGATTATGCTTAACAATATTTCTGAAACCTGATTCTCGGATCTTGTGGGACTTGCTCAGGTCATTCAGAATCAGTGCAAAAATTCATGATCCAGCAAATCTGTAGAGCAGAGAGAATATGCTTGTGTAATTAAACTAGGGCTTGTCCTGTGGGAGCAGATTTGTGCTTCCCTCAGTGATTTGCTTCTAAAAATATACACAAGTCCACTGATTGGGTTCGATAGGATCTTTTATTTCAAAACAGGGGCATTGTGCTTGAAGGAATTTGCATCACTGAGCAGAAGTAATATTGTACTCCACTCCTATGATCCCAAAGAGAATGCTACTTTGCCCTTTTGCTCCAAAGAAGCACTTAACTTGAATTGCTTATGAAATGAAGCACCTTTCCAAAGATCTGCACAGCTCTATCATTAATGTACTGCCCCCAAAGCAAGACTGTGACCTCACTAAGAAAAGGATGATAATCGTGCATTGTTTTTATATGTGCCACTTGCTATTGAAAGAAGTTGTCCAGATGCCATTGATGAGTTAAATTGCATTGTTTTCCATTTTATGCTGCACTTGAAAATAAGGGTGGGGGTGATAAAGTGGAAAACATAACAAAACAAAAACACGATTAAGTAAAGTAAGACTATTTTAGTTGGTATTCAGGATTTCTACATCAGTACGATTGTGAAGAATTGATCCAGTATTATACCTATCAGTGTAAAGGGCAATGAAAAGATTGCTTCTTTCTTGAAAATGCATTCATCCTAAAGCATTATTAATCCAAAAGGCATAAATTTTCAGCTTTCTGGCGATTTATGAAAATACGGATAAAATCAGGATTCTATAGACAAAGACATTTGTATTCTTTTCACCAAGGCTGAGGGAGGGAGGAAGGAATTGTTATTTTCTATGCAATTAATACTGAGACAGCCATAAAAAATGGTGCATAACTTGTATTCTTTTCTTTTTTTGAACTTTTGGCATATTCTTGTTTTTGTTGTTTAAGAAAGCAAGGACTTAAATGAGACTTAAATTCTCAGCAGATTTTCCTGCCAGTTTTTAAACTGAATATTAGTTCCCAGGGCTACATAGCTCAGATTTAAATTCCATTTATAATCCACACAAGAGCAGTAAAGGAGAAATGTGTACCTTTATTATTACTGAAATAATTACTTAACAGAATCTTGCTACTGTTCCCCTTTTCTTTTCAAAATGCTTAAAGTTTACAACGATCATGTTTCTCCACACCTAATGTTTCTCTGAAGATTTGTCAGGTTTCCTCAAATTTATGCATAATGCATTTTATTTAAAATATCTAGAAACCAAAAAAAAACCCACCCCAAGAGTCCATTTTTTTTAAAAAAAAAATTATTGTTGCAATTTTGATGTGCTATTGCTTTTATACAATCTGAAATTGCCAGCTGTTTTGTTATTGTCAGTAGTAAGTGCTTGGTCAGAACAGCATATGTTGAAAACTTGATAAATTGCTCTTACATTGCTACTGCTTGTGATCAGGGATAGTTGTGGTAAAAACAGCAACCTAATTGCTTTTTTCTTCTCATTTCAAATGTAATCAAAGCAACCAAAATGTTTTTGGGGGGAGGACGTTGGTGGAATCAAAATCAAAATTGTCTAATTTCCATTTACTTGGGATTTAATTCAGCAAATAATACCATATTAAACTCAAAAAAAAAGTCTCTTTCACTATTACATGATTACCTTGTGCACTCTAAGTATCTCATGCAGGGACATCAAAATGAAACTCTTTAATGACATATAATGTTTCATATATTTTGGTTTTGATTTTAAAGATACAAACTTTCCATTAATAGCTTTCCACAAATTGAACTGTTGAAAGAAATATCCTTCTGGGTTCAGTTCCAAGTGGGGAAAAAGACACTGGAAACATGGAGGCTGCTTGGAAAGTTTAATGGTGGACAGGACCACATGGCCTGGAGCTCCAGAGTGAAAAGGAAGAGATCAATAAAAAGGGCTGAGGTGCTTGAGAGTGCCTGGGTTTTATACCCTCTGCTGGGATTTGAATTTGAGCTTGTATTCTGATTGATTGTCAGACTCCCATGGGCAACTCTATAGGCTGTCCTGAGTTCCAGGCTTGGTCTAGCCTTGCTGGATGATTTATGCAATTAAAAGGGCTTTTGGCAATTATTATAGCTTTACCTGGAGATCTTTCTTTATGTAAAGTATTTTGGCCCAGGCCTTAATGGCCCACCCATTAACAAAGGTGGGGGTGAGATTCTGCTTCCGGGGTGAGTTTCTGTTTCTGAGTTTCTACTCTTTTTAGATGAAATATTCTGCCTTTTTAATATTATCTAGGCTATTTCAATTTTCTAGGAGAGGGGTAGGTGCTAACTTCCTACAGTACATTAGGACCATTTCTCTAAACTAATTTTTTACTACTTTATTTCATCAAAATCTGCTAGGGGTCTGGAGTGAAAGTTTGAAAGGAAACTT